AAATTAAAGATACTAACATTTAATCGAATATCATCATAAAATTCTGTTCACTAATTGCAAAAATGTAAATTATTTTATTCAGCCTTTCTCTCCCTGTGATTTAACTTCATGTGATTCATTATTCTGATAAAGATCAGGCTTTTTTAAGGTTTCATGCATTAGAGTGACAAGTGTTTGAATCAAATTGTGACATTAGATATTTAAAACTGTCTCTACGATTTAATCTTGAGTTATTGTTCAATATTAAATAATTATTACAAAAGTTATTAGTGTCTTTAATGGCATTAAGGGATTTTGGAGTAGATGAATACAAAAACATATTTTAGGCTTAAAACTATTTAACACACTTGGTAATTTGACTTACTAGTAAAAAGCATGCCTGTAAATTAGTTTAATCAATGAAAAAATAACATAATAAACTGGTTGCAAAGACATGGATTTTTTAAAAACATTTTAATTTTTTATGTTTTCAGTAAACACACCTGGTAATCTTATATGAAGGACAAACAAGGAACAACAGAATAATAGCAGACCTATGTGCTCTTATGACAAAAACTGATAAAGAATATTTTGCTTTCAATAACAGAATCAACCATTATAACATTACAAATTACAGATACAACAGCAAAGGTTCAAAAGGCAAAGTTCTTATATACTATTCTAAATAAAGGTAAACTGAAATGTCTTTGGAATATAAAATAACAAAAAGAAAATCATTTATTTTCTACAGTTATGGTTCAAATAAAATCAGAGTGCTGAAAAAATTTATCAAAAGTATTGTCCATTATTTTTGCTGTTCAAATGATTATGTCAGAGTAGAAATAACTTGTGCGCCACTGATAATACTGGAGAAAAATCTGTGATGAAATGTTATAATGTAAAAACAGAGAAAAAACAACAAAACTACATAAATCACAAAATGATTCATTAATTTCCGTAAGTGCTTCAAAACTTAAATATATATTTAAAGGCTTTTTTTTTTTCATTTAAATAGCAAAATCAGACTTTAAGTCACTTGTGTTTTGATTTATACTTGGAGCATTAAAAATGTCCAATAAAATACTCCTCTTTATTATGACAAATTCATAAAATGTACAATAATCACACAGTACATCTGATACAMGCTGCATTTCCAAAGATTCAGTTAACACTCCCATACGGTGACAAGTGGTCGATTTTAAAGGATAAAATAGATGACATTGTATTTGATACAACCATTAAATCAAACAAACAATGCAAACCAGTGTTAATCTCAGCACTCAGGAGGTTGTTGGACGAGTCAAAAGGATTCTCTGTAAACGTTAAAATCTAGTCGCAAATAAKAATTCATAAAGAAACAATTATAACAAATGGTGTATGCTCTTGTTAATCCAATAATATRATAAAAAATAATAAATTTAGAATGAAAAATGCTTTTTTTTTGTATTTTGGCTGAATACATGTTWATAATATTATATAAATTATAGCAATTGTTCTCTTGACAATTAAGGTGTCAAACACTTTATAATTTTATTAACGAGACTATTTGATCCTGGCTATTACTACGAGAACACAAGATGGGTTCAGACCTTTGATTAAATTGTTTGAAGCCCAACCTGTTTGTTAATTTTATTTCCTGATTCCAGATAAAACAAATCAGACTGAATCATTGACGTACTGTAATGTCAACAAGCTGAAGTTGTTACCAACTTAAAAAACAATTTAAATTTCCACCATCGCCTGAAAGACCAATGTGAAACAGAGACGTCAATCAAATGTTGACCTTTTATTTTCCTAATTTAATTCCTAATTAGCTCTTTTTAGCACTGAATCTTTTTGTTACAAAGTCAGTGGATTTAAATCATAAAAAGTCTTTGTTTGACTAAAACATGATTCTCAGCATGAGAAATATGAGAAATWCTATCAATTATGATAGATTTGAAATTTGATACGATCAAAAACTTTTATGCTGCGTTCACACCGAAYGCGATTTCAGCTTCAAAATCGCATCCAACGCTTCAAGTTGGTCACTTGTGCACTTTGAGGTCAGACGCAGGTCAGCTCTTGAAGCGCTGCACGGCAACAGCCTCCCCGCCCCTCCCTCCTCTGTCGGGCTCTGTTTAATGTCGGACGAGGAAGTGGCTTTGCTTTATTTACAGAGAGCAAGAGCGTGTCACATTCAYCAGATAATTAATTCATAATTAATTCACCAGATAATTCAGAGTAGAGGCTCACAGCTCGCTTTCAGGACTATTTTTGTCCCGAGTCCAGTCTGATGAGCCGCTGCCACGCATTGGTGAGGATATCTCCTGTCAGGACACCGACTGCAGGCACTCGATTTCAGCTAAAGAGCTCCTCTCCATCTGTTTCAGGTTAGTGGACATCATTCAGTAAACTGTCCTGTCGGGAAATATGTCACTACGTCACACAGTGGAGTCTCTCTGATTGGTTGATGCGGTGCGTCGAGCTGCAAAAGTTCAGATTTTCTAACTTCAGCGATTTGCGCCTCAGCGCGTTGAACGCTCAGATCGTTCAAATCGCGCTGCTCTAATCGCGCTTGAGGCGCCGCAGCACTTCCCGACGYTGCTTGAAGCGYGTCCACCATAGACTTYGCATGTAAACCTGATGCTCCTGATGCTGAAATCGCKTTYGGTGTGAACGCACCGTTATTCCGCCATTTGTGTCAAAATCAAAAAACTTGTAGATTTTATGTCAGGCTCTTCAGCAGAACTGTACAAAACCAGCCGTGTTTCATTTCAGGTGTTGAAGCTCATTGGAGGCATTTGTTGGCCRATGGTATCACTGCACCATCAGCAAGCTCAACAGAAAAACAAAGATGGCTGAATTTTTTTGTTTGTTTTTTTCACGGGTCAAAGAATTTGTTTTTAAATATGTTTCAGCATTTTTTTCCAGCAATGAGATTCTACGCCCCTCTGTGAAGTGTGGATTCAGTTGAAGTGTACTGTACATAAGTGTTTGAGTGCACAGGTTACAAGTGTGCAAAAAAATTGAGAATTGGGACAGTACCAATTACGTCATTGACTTGCGCCTCTGCGTCATAACTGCTACATCCAACCAGTCAGTTTTGGTACAAAAAACAATTGTTTTTAGGAGAAGAAAGCACATGAAGCAAAGGAGGCTTATACGTCAGAGTATGAGAACTAACTCCTACAAGTCCTTCTTTTGGTTTTATAGGTGGTTGGCAGGCTAATTTAAGTGCATTACTGCCACCACTAAACTGGAAGCTGCTCAGTGGTCATTGCCAGATTTCTGCCTTTTAATTTAAAACATCACACACAGCGATGAATTGTGGGTAATACACTTCGCCTAAGTCCGTAAAAATGCGAACTTCGTGTAAGGGCGTAAATAGTACCCAAAATGGGCGGGGCGAAGGGCGGATGTGGAGAATGTGGGACACACTACTCACTCAAACCTTTCAACTTGAACGCACATTTGAAGTGCACAAGGGTGGGAGTGCGAGTAACGGGACAGGACCTATCTTATCTCAGTTAATGCACCCAACATGAATGACTTCCAGCTGTCCACTTGGGCAGCAACCCCTGAACTGAAACACAGCTATTKATCATGTAGAATGAGATTTTTATGTTTTCATACTTTGGATTTGTTGCTAAATTTGTTCTTATTAGACTCACTAGTATCCTAATATTGATCTTATAATWTATTAATGAAACAATGCAGGTTATTTAATGGATTTGGACTGATTTTTGCATTATTATGGAACAGAGTTGCAGCCATACCGTCCTGAAYGCASCAGATCTCATCTGATCTTGGAAGATAAGGATCAGACCTGGTTAGAACAAGGATGGGAGACTACCAGGTGCTATAAAACCTTTGATCGTCACAGGCTGCCTTCTATGAWGGATAACAAGCATGGGACAAAGTCGGAGAGTAATAAACCTCTCAGGTTTCAAGTGAAGAAGTGTAAAACTATAGTCATGACTAAACAGCAGCTTTCTATAGAGTTCAATTCTTGTCTTATTTGTAGCAACAATGGTTTTAATCTAGTTAAAGCACACTTACAGCTTTTTTTGAATAAAGTGTCAGCGCGAGCGTTTCGTTGCCTTGAACTATTTCAATGCACTTTGAACTGAAGAAGCATCAAATGACTTGTGAAACCCTACCAGAACACTGACTCTGGATCCTTTATCTTAGCAGTTTTAGGTTTTACTAAGCCAGCTAACAGAAAGAAAGCTCAGCTTTGTTGAAATTGTTCCATAGTACAGCCCTTTAGGTGTGTTTTTATTTTGTTTAGTTTTAGTGCTTTGGAATTTGAGAATATTAAAATATCATCAATTATCCTTTAATTCGGCAACTCTGTGCAAAACCTTTTGTTTTGTTATTTTGTGTTAAAATGAGCAGCATGTTTTTAAATGCCGTCAGCCTTCGCCTTGTCACACAACAGTCTGCTCATAAACACTCAGGCGAGGTTTAGGATCATGAAGATGGCAGGCACAAAGCAGACACAGACAAAGCCCATCACGCTGTAGACGATGTAACGGTACGGCAGCTCCACCTTCATGTGCTGCCGCGCCCGTCTCACGTCGTCCAGGGGCAGCCCGAACAACCGGCACAAGAACGGAACCGTCACCGCTTTCATGGCCGTTCTTGTGACGAGGAGGGCGGCCACGCCGATGAAGAAGCGCAGCAGCGAGCGCAGCACCAGGCCTGTGGTGAGCGGGGGTACAGTCAGAGGGAGCGAGGACAGCGCTGGGTCCAGCAGCAGCCCCAGCTGGTAGTTCACGTGGGTGGCCAGGGCGGCGCCCGCACCGGTGCCCAGCGCCTGAGCCGTGTCGCCCCGAGAGGTGCTCCACGAATCCAGGGAGAACGCCACGAGTCCCAGGCCCACGTGTGACACGATGATCATGAGYGGCGCGTAGTGGTCCGTCATGTAGTAGGTGTCGATCCTCTCCAACAGCGGGTGAAAGAAGGCAAGAACAAGGAGGCTGTACAGRAAGCCAGTGATCACCTCCTGAAAAACAAACATATCACTGTAAAGCCACAGTGTGACCCATCACATCAAAACRAGGATTAAGTCCAAARGTGGAATGTGGAGAAACAGGCAGATAGGGTTTTGATTTAAAAGTGTACAAAAATTGCATTTTGTCAAAATATAATGAACTAGTGCCTTATCAATGTATCGTTTGAAAGAACTGTCTAAAATATAATCCTAACAATTTTTTGAAGCATTTTTTTAGCAGTAGCAAAAAAAAAAATGATTTTGAGGAAAAACGCCTTAAAATTTTTAAATTTTCCGTGAGCTAGCAATGTTTTTGTTTCTTTCCAACTGGGAAATCTTAATATACAAATATTTGAGGTTTCCTCTTTATATTGACATCAAAAATCACTCAATAAATTTACATAAAATTAGGATTCAGATCAAATATTAATGTATTATTGTAACCAACAAGACTAATTAAGTCATATCTCTGGATAAGCTTTAGATATCAGAATGATCCAGGTATCAAAATGTAGCTTTTAAAGCCACAAATCTGAAAATGTAGTTACCGGTAGGTCATTTTGACCAAATTTGACTTAATCCTCATTTCGGTATGATGGTCACAAATATCTGCTGTGTTTTACTAGTTTTATCAATAAAGTTTCAACTTATGCAATAAAAGAACAAAAACTGTGCCACTTCCTGTCCTGAAGGAGGCGCTCTGACACCTTTAAGTCTAATATATTCRCTGTAGTTATTAGGACAAATATCATGTGAGCTGCTGACTGTAAACACTATCTGTTCAAATCAGTTTTCAGGYCACACAATCTTATCTAGTGGCTTTCATTTGTTTATGGTCTCTGGTTGCATCCACTTTACCAAGAAACTCTGGTGTTGAAAAGGACAAATTTATCTGTTCACATAAATTATGTTTAAATAACGAGTAAAATACAGACAAAAAAAAATGTAAGTCGAGCATCCTCCATTTTCATCATTCTTCCTGCAAAACAACCCTCTTAACAAGCTAACTTTTAAAACACGAACTACAATATAAAAATCCCATGAAGTCCAAAAGCAGCATCATCGTACAAAAATTTCAATTTACTTTTTTTAAAAGTTATTGTTTAATCTCCTTACCAGGACAGAGTGCATTCCCATGTAGACTCGGCTCACGCAGACCAGGATGCTCCAGCTCAGAGCCACACAAAAGCCAAGGAAGAAAGGATACTGCAGAGAATAACACAAGTTAGCACATCGTGTCTCAAGAAATCCAAGTCTTTGCAAATACAAATATAGATGATGAGTTAGAGGAGCAGAACGTCGTTATTTTTCTATTTTCTACTGACAATAACCAACCAGGACCTTAAAAAAAAAACCCACTAYACCATTAATGAGAACAGGATGTAGCGATGTGTTTAATTTATCTATGTATTTGGTCAGATTTATCCRTCAACTTTTAAAAATGACTGTAAACTTTAAATATTTGTTTGATGACGGTCTCTGACAGAAACAATGTAAAGGTCACTGGGTGAAAAGTCAGACTTTGACTCTGCAGAGTATTAAAACTAATGCTATCATCAGCATACCGACAATAACAACGCTGCAGGTTTAAAGTGATTAACATCTCTGGATCTGCTGAATGGCATCCAGACCAAAGGGTAASAGGAGAACTTGTGTAAATAATTTGTGTCAGTAAAGATGCAAGCTCTGGTTTTAAAGACGAATGMATTCAAGGCTTGTTGAGAAATCAATACTCAGTTGGGTTTATYGTTCCGGAAACGTGAATAGTTGCATAAAATTCACAAGCATTTGTTGCTGTGGACAAAGAAGGTGGGCGGAGTGATTCAAATTCCTCCAGCCTCACCGTTGTTAACTACAGCATCAACCCTGCAGGAAACTTGTTGAAACCAACGTGACCGAGTCAGACCGAACAGCTGTCGTCGTTCAGAATATTAAACTCATTTCAGGTGCTAAACTCTTCCTCCCTGCTTTTAATCTTCAGCTTTGTTTTTCTGCACGATTTCTTTCTTTCCATCCAAACACTGCATTTTTCTGTATCTGTTCCTCTTTTTATTTTTTATTTTTGCTTCCCTAATTATGCATCTGTCACGGGCCTTACCACCAATTCGGACAACTTCTGCTTTCATCCACCTCTCCCCTGGATGATCTTTAAAATGATGCGGCTGTATCAGAATGAGTGTGTGTGTTCACAAGAAGCAGCGATGGAGAAAAGTCAAACGGGTGAAGCTTTTAGACATTTAAGAGTTTCATTATAAAATTTTATTTTTAAAAGAGTGCAAATGTGTATTTTTTTAAGTTTGAAAACACAGAACATGTCCACACTGGCGCCAAACAGAGTTTGAACATTTTTAATTTTATTTTGATAATTATTTTCCGAGCACCTTGTTACTTTACAACATTCCCAAGAGGTCTTCTAGAAATCAATCCAACTTTCTCGTCCGATTTTATCACGTTGGATTTTTGCTAATTAGGACAACGATGCTTTTACCTCCCTGCTGCAAGCTGTTGTTCCTGTTGTTGCACAAAGTTTTTATTCAGCTGTTCTTTGAACAAGACTGGACACAAAGATAAGCTTTCCAGGAATTGAAAAAAGACTTTCAATTCCAAGAAAACAATCAAACTTTCTCCATCTTTTGTTACATTCACCACATGAAAGCTTTTTTCCCCCTGCTTTCTCTTTTAGCCCCTTTAACAGTCTTTGTTCCACCAGTGGGCAAAAACAGTGCGGTTTCTGCCTTTAAACATTCCCAGACACTAATGGGGGCTTTTATTTTGAAAACTAGGATGTCAAACGACTTCCTCTGGTTCTTATCTTTACTTTGACACCCTTACAAAAACTAAAAAAAATGTTGAAAAGCTTTAAAGGGATTTCAGARAGAACTATTAATGGGTTAGAATAGCAAAAATGCTACTCCTCCTTGCCGCAACAAGCAAGCTTCACCTTCAGATTCAGCTGTGCACCAAAGAAAAGCTTGGATTTTTTTCTGTTATTTTATTCAAACAATCTCTCTGACTGGCTCAGAAAGAAATAAAACATCTGCGGTAAATACAGCACCTGGTGTTTAGTCATCAGAACTTTTTAAAAGTCGATTCTGCCTCAAACACACAAATGCTGACTGATGATCCTGTAGATTTGCAGCTTTTAGGCCTYGATAAATACGCCAACATGTGCATTTATTCGTGTTCTGCTGTATTCCAGCTGCAGCGGAACTAGAAATTGTGAAGTCGGACTGACGTCACCTTGTCTCACAAAATATTATTGAGAAAGAACATTTCTTTGAATCAGTGGTGCAGTGATCTGATGAGACAAAACTGAGCAGCTCATGCTATTAATTTTAGTTTATTTTACTTTTTTTATATTTCCCTTAAATTTTTTTGAGCCCCTTTAAAGGTGTCTGCACAGTCCTGCACCTGTACAAGACATTTCACTATGTTTCCCAACCAATGAYCCTCCTAAAATAAAAACAATAAGCTTCACTTGTTATAATTTTTGACAGTTGTGCATGTCAGCAGCTCAGCGTCAACAGGCTCACCTGCCACCGCCCGTAAGTCAGCATGAAGAGGCAGAAAGGTATGGCTGTCCCCGTCATGGCGTGTGTGGAGGGCATGCTGTACTCCGAGTTGTAGAAGACCTCCACCTTCACCACAGGAGGGGAGGCCGGCCGGGACCAGCGGACCATGTCCTTGGTGGACTGTCCCACGAACAAGTTCCAGGCCCAGACCACGATGAGCCTCCTGCTGACCAGGGCGTCCACATTCCAGAAGAGGAACGGGAAGAAGACGATGAAGAACATCTCGTTGCCCAGCTCAGTTCCGAACGTGAAGACGTAGAAGAGGAGCTTGTTGTGGATCAGGAACTCCTGACCCACATCCCCAGTCAGGGAGTTCCTCCGGAGGGGTTTAGCTCTGGTGGACTCGGCGCCATCATCGGGCTTGTTGTCCTCCTGCATCCCGTTACTCTGCGGCGAGGCTGCATCCCCGTTCCCCACGCCTTCACCCGAGCTCTGTCCCCCGYGCGGGACCCTCCTCCTCAGCCCGCCTGGATCCAGCGGTCCGTCGCCCGGCTCGSTCCGTTTCTCCGGAAATGTCCCCTGCACGCCGCATAGTCTCTGAAAGCTCGCCACATGGCAGGGGTCTTGGAGATAATTACACAGTTGTACGAACTTATTCACGTTTGCCATGTTCAGCAAATATATCCACAGTTTGTGTTTGGTGTGTTTACAACTTTAACTATTTCCTGTCGTAATAAACACGAACATCGAGGAAGCTAGGCAGGAGTGTAGCTCTTTGGCGGCCGATTCATTCCCTAAAAAATACAACAGAAAAGCACTTTCAGCTCAGCAGGTCGGAACAGAACTTCTCTAATTTATGTTTCCTGCGTTTAAAGTACCGACCTTGAAGGGAGGAGTGGTCGTACTGGACAGAAACATCCAAAGTCCGCAACAGATAACCATTACATCATGATATGTAGCGCTAATTCATACAACAGACTCCAGCTAACTGCGTCAGACCGCAAAACGTTTCTCCGACTTCTTCTTCTGTTCAAAGAATTTTGACCGCTTAATGTCCAACACGGTCAAACATGTCCCCCTACTGGCCAATATTGAGAATTGCATCAGTTCCATAA